TGGGCACTTCCCACCCGGTGGTGGTTCAGTATTGAGGAACCTGCCCTGGAATTCCTAGTATGCCTTGCTTTGATTGATACCTTCCTGGATCCCAGGGTTCCAATCCGAACCCCTAGCTAGATTATTGGGTTGGGCCAGGGTCTCATGTATCCCAGACTGGTCTTAAACTATGTAGCTAAGATGACCTTGAACTCCTGATCCTCCCGCCTCTACCTCCCAAGTTCTGGGATTACTGGTGTGATTCCACCGCACCTGAGTTATTTGAAACAGGGGATTGAACTCAGGACTTTGGATATGCAAGACAAGTACTCTACCAACTGAGCTATATTCCAGGCCCCTAGCTATATTTTGGTGTCAAAAATCAACTCCTCATTTTTCTTTTCAGCTAGAAGACCTGATGTCACAAGCCTCCCAAAGCAGGGGCCAGAAGTGGGGCATGCTGTGGGTGGTTCTACTAGGAGCTCTGCCAAGCCTTGCAGTTCACACCCCTGCAGTTCAAAGCCCATGCAGTTCACACCCCTGCAGTTCACACCCCATGCAGTTCACTCCCCATGCAGTTCACACCCCAAGCAGTTCACACCAGTCCCAGGACAGGGCCTTGGGGCCAGCAAAGGTTTGCGCAGGGTACAGCAGGCAGATAGGAGCCCTTGCCCTCTGTGTCCAGAAAGACTGGAGCGCCTCGTGTCATTGGCCTCATGGAGGAGGAAGGAACCGAGGACAGGATGACCCACTTAAAAACCGGCTCCTTTCAAAGCAGCGTGCCTGTGACTAGGGGCTGCTTTAAGTGGGTTAGCTCACATCCATACGTTGGTCTTAAACTCTTCAAAACACAGCTGTTAAGCATTGGCATTCTGTTTTCATTAGCTTGTAAGCCTCAGCAATGGGGACCTGCCTTGTTTTCTGAAACAGCAAGTATGCCTAGAGGCTAATAAACAGCAGGTGTCTCCAATAAAAAGCTCTTCATTCTCCCTATAAATGGGAGTGTAGCCATGAGAAAGGACAAATTTGAATTCTAGTGCTAAGTACCACTTCTCAGAGCCTGCATCTGAGAATGTGGTGCATACAGGATGCATGTTTGGTGTGTGTAGAGTATGTTTCTGTAGCTAGTATCTATGTGTGTAGCAGGGAGTGTGTGCACACACATGCACACGTGTGTGAAGAGAAGGCTCCATCATTGGATAGGACAAAGTGATGAGAACAAACAACGTTTGCAGGGCCTGGTGCAAAATGAAAGCAGGCACGAAAATCTCAGGCTGGCCGGGTGGGAACATGGAACCAAGCCCAAGCTAGAGCCAAGTCCATGAAGGCCTCCTGGGGGACCCGGCGAAGAAAGCTCCGTTCCCATCTCTCTTAGCTCTTCCGTGCTGCCCTGAAAAGCTCTGAGTTGCAGTCTGCCAGGAGCTGCCGGGAGCCTTGCATAGCCTAGCACTGCCTTGGCCTTTCCTGTGCCTTCTCTTTGAGGCCAGGCCCTGCACAGAACACCACCATTCCTAAGGTGGCACTTGTCCTGGGCTCCTTGTGCAAGGAACAGCCTCCATCTCTCTCTTGCCTGCGTGCTGTGGAGGCTCAGGTCTCTCTCAAGCCTCAGCCAGTTCCCTCGGATGTTACCAGGAATCAGGAACCATTCAGAGGCTCAGGTGCTGAGTGTGGTGGTTCACTTGGGGAATCCTGTAGATCTGAGGCCAGCCTGGGCTGTACAGTGAGTCAGGACAGCCTGGGCTACAGAATAATAGCCTGTCTCAAAAAGAAAACAAATAAATAAACCTATCAATAAAAACAGGATTGAGTATCTCCACTTCCCGCCAAGGCCTTCAGGGTGACAGAGCAACTCTGCCCTGGGTTCCTGTCAAGCTGGCAACTCTGCTGTGGAGAGAAATGGCCAAGACAACCAGGAGCTGGGGCAGAATCTACAGGAGGGGGCGGAGGGCGGAGGCTCCCTGTGTCCTTCCTGTTTATTGTCCTGGTCTGCCTCTTCTTGGGTCAAGTTCAGGGTGCCTGCTTCAAAGTACACTCAGAGGTACTCACAGGTGATAATGAGAGCGTTCCGCCCTAGCCTCAATACCTATCTATACTGGTCAATAATTACACTTGATGTCCTGGGTTCTGGGAGGAGGCTGTGGCTCTCACCTTCCCTGGTGGGTTTAGGTTCTCAATACACCATCAGCACTCGTCACCCCCAAGTCTCCAGTTTTCAGGGTGTTCTGGGTGTGGGTACCTAACAAAAGCTAAGGCCTTGAGAACTCATTTCTGTCGTGTTCCCATGACTAGCCAGAAATGGGTCCTGCATTCAGCTAGCAGTCGCAGAAACCATGTGACTCTGGGCAAGGGAACTGGCCTCAGGACAGAAGCCACCTGCCATAAGCCACGGCCACCCAAGCACAGAGACTAGGAAAGCACTTAGGGGTCTGGGGTGCGGCTCTTTACAAGGTCCAAGTGGTGGGTTGAGTGTGGGAATGGAGACTGACTTGAATTCATGCAGGGGTAAATCAGTTTTCAAGGGGAGGGGAAAATCCAAAATTGGCATTCGCCAATTTCTGTGGTATCATTATTCTACTGCATCCAATTTCAAACTATGAATCTACTTAGCAACCAACTCAGAAACTTCCTGAACCTTTAATAATCATCTCTTGCCTCACTATCTGCCACGGCCACTGCCCTGTATGGAGGCCATCAATAGCACAAGCCCTCAGGTCTTCAGGATGGCCTCCCAGCATCCCAACCATCCGGTCTTTATCTGTATCATGTTGCCCCAGTGCTGGACCAGGAGATCTGACTTCCACATTGAGAAGTGTGGTCTGAGAATTCTGTCTCAGACATCTCACAGCTTTCCCCCTGGGCACATGCCTCCTTCAGCCACATCCTCACTCATCCCCACTTCCAGGGGACCTGGTGTGCAAGGTGATGAATCCTGGGGAGTTAGGAAGCCACAGGGTCAGACCTCTGGTCCCTGGGACCACACTCATCCCCAGGACCCCAAGTCTACCCATAAGCATCTCTTTGCAGAAGGGGCTTTCTGGTCCTGTAGGTGGCTGGGCCCTGTCTCTGGACACGTGTTGTTCATTGCATAATTAATTGTCTTAGAGACCCACCTTCTCCTGATACCTTTCCAGCAATCCATTCCACTCCCTTGGGATCCCGGTATGCCACCTTGGCCCCACCTCAGTTGGGCAGCTGTGATGAGCCATGTTGACCAAATGCCATCTCTGATGGCTCACTGTGTCAGATGGAACATGTTGAGGGGCTTGCAGAGTGGCGGGGACCCTCAGACGACACGGAGGAGGACAGAAGGCTCAGCTAGGTGCTGAGTGATGGACAGTCTAAGGGGAGAGACAGGGGCATGCTCTCAGCCAGACACAGCAGCCACAAGTGCCTGCTGACCTGCCTTGATCTCCATTCTCGAATCTCTCCTCCTCCGTGACTGCACACAGCTGGGCCACCCTGTGTCCCAGGATAAGTTTCTAGAGGAGCAGAGGCAACCGTGAATGTCAGTGTTGTGTGCTCCAGCCTTGGTGCATTGCAGGAGGACTTGGGAACAAGCACAAGAGAGTACAGAACACAGTTCAGCCAGACACATGCCCTCGTGCCAGAACAGCGTAGAGGGCTCCTTGGAGAAGAAGGCATCTGAACAGGACCATAAAACTGGGACCCTTCACGGTCCCTAACTCACATACAGGCCAGCTTGAGCCCTTGACACACAGGCTTGCTCTGTGGTTGTTGGAGGCACAGACAAGTCTGTCCATGATCCCAGCAGTGGAGAGGGTAAAGCGTCATCACGACAATCTCCTCTGGCCAGAGCCTCCCAGACCCTCTCCAGGGGCATGCCCCATACTGCAAATGCTCCCCACTGAGAACAAATTAGTAAGGTTCTCAGTGGCGTTTCAGATGAGGCATGTGTGAGAGCAGGGTTGGAGCATTGGGGGAAGGGGCCCTTGGAAGGCCGTCTAGAAGGCAAGAAAGGAGGCCAGGGAGGGAAGATACCTGTACTCAAGGGGCTGGGTGTGGGGCTCACCCAGACCTCGAGTCTGCTACTGGACTCAGGACATCACTCCAGGAAGTTCAAGATTTGTGCCCACCTGCTTCTGGGTCTTCATGAACCCATAGGCTGAGGCCTCGCCCCATAGTGGGCCGACTCTGAATTAGAAGTGGCTGGTAACGGAAATGACCACAGTAAAATGTGTTTATAAAAAATTATTATATATGGGGGAGCATCCTAACTCACATAGAAACAATTTCTGTCCATGCTTGTGAGGGTGTACTTCTGTGATCCCAGCACTCAGGAGGCTGAGGCAGAACAGCTGTGAGTTCAAGACTCGCCAGGGCTACACAGGAAGACCCTGTCTCACAAAGGCAAACTAAAGAGACAGATGACAGAGAAACATATAGCTAGATAGATAGATGATTGATAGAGCTTAGAGACAGATAAAGATACAGATAGGTAAATAGATAATAGATATAAATAGTGAGTATGTGATTGATAGATGTTGGAGACAGACAGACACATACAGTTAGGTAGGTACATGAGAGATGATAGCTATGTGATGGATAGATGATAGAGGCCGACAGGCAGATAGAGATGAAGATGGGTGGGTAGAAAGGCAGATGATGGACAGGTGATAGAGACCCATGACAGACTTGAGATTTCCTGACTCTGGAATCCCCTCTGTTTCCCTCTCTGAGGAAACTTACAGGATCCACACTTAATCTAGAAGGCCTGAGTCACCTCATCGGTGTGGACACTGAGAGATCAGTAGTACAGGTGCCTTCTCCTGACCACCCCAAGCAGTGATTGGGTAAGGCCAACCAGGTCTCCTCTTCTGAAGCAGATGGAGACCTGCTTCCTGTCTCCCCTTCTCTGGCTAATGATAAACACCGGAATGTCATCACCTCTGTGTCCTCATCTGGGTTATTCTGGGACACAGGCTGGGGAGGGTCCCACAGCCCTGTCCTCACAGCCCTGTCCTTTGACTGAGACTGCCTTCCTCACCAGGCGGGCTGGTGTCATGTGGATGGGTACTGAGGGTGAGGCACTCATCCTGCTAGTCAGGCAAGATGCTGGCGGGAGGGCGGGACCAGGGGGTGGAGCTTCTAGAACAAAGGAGAATGAGGAGCCTGGGGGCCCAGGCTGGGCATCAAAAAGGCCGTGCAGAACAAGCAGAACACAGACAGCCTGCTTCTGTGCCCAGCAGCCAGCCAGACACCCTGTATACCTGCTCCCCTCAACTTGCCCAGGCTGGGCAGGTACAAAGCCCTGTCGACAAAAGCCTTGCTATCCAGCGTGATTGCGCCCACACTGCTCTGCGCCTTTCTTTACTTGGCTTGTGTTACTGCTGAACTTCCAGAGGTGAACGGAGGGATGGCCACCGGCAGAGCCAGAAGCAACGAAGGCCGGGAGCATGCCTTCATCCCAGAACCTTTCGATGGGGCTAACATAGTCCCCAGCCTTTGGCTGAACCGCTTTGAAGTCATTGATGACCTCAACCACTGGGACCATGCCACCAAACTGCGGTTCCTGAAAGAGTCTCTCAGAGGAGATGCCCTGGACGTCTACAATGGACTCAATCCCCAGGCCCAGGGCGACTACAGTATTGTGAAGGAGGCTCTTCTGAGGGCTTTTGGGGGCTCCGGGACCACCCACGGTCAGAAACCCAGAGAAATTCTGTTTGCCAACAGCATGGGTAAGGGCTACTACCTTAAAGGGAAGATTGGTCATGTGCCTGTAAGGTTCCTGGTGGACTCTGGAGCTCAGGTGTCTGTGGTCCACCCAAGCTTGTGGGAGGAGGTCACTGATGGTGACCTGGATACCCTTCGGCCTTTTGAAAATGTGGTCAAAGTGGCCAACGGGGCAGAGATGAAGATCTTGGGTGTGTGGGACACAGAAGTGACCCTGGGCAAGCTGAAGCTGAAGGCAGAGTTTCTGGTGGCCAACGCAAGTGCAGAAGAGGCCATTATCGGCACCGATGTCCTGCAGGATCACAACGCTGTGCTGGACTTCGAACACCGCACCTGCACTCTAAAGGGGAAGAAGTTCCGCCTGCTGCCTGTTGGGGGCTCCTTGGAGGATGAGTTTGACCTGGAGCTCATTGAGGAGGAGCCTTCGGAGGGCTCCCATTAAGAAACCCCTTTCCTTCTACTAGCATTGGTTGGGGGGGACCCTGTATTGGGGGGAGCAGATGTCCTCAGGAGATGTCATTGGGCCTGGTCAGTCTTTACATGTGTTCTCAGCTTCCCTCCTTCTGCAGGAGCCTTACCTTGCCCCTCTTGGGGGAGGGAGGGCGGCTTGGTGGTGTAGAGCAGGGTCTACAAAGACCTTCAAAGCTGGCAGAAGTTTCCAAAGAGGTTAGGACTATTAGGTCCCCTGAAGTGTGGCTCAGTCACCTTCAGGTCCCCAAGCCTGCTCAGCTGAGCATGGTCCTGGCTAAGGCCCCCATGATCCAGATCCTTGGAGGAGAGTGACAGCTGCTCCTGACTCCTCCCCATGAGTCCTCCCAACGGCACAGTGCCGTTCCCTCCTTGAATGTTACTTCCTCGAATCCCATGGAGCCTGTGTTAATAATTCAATTATTTCAAAACACCAATAAAGATCTGTTCGTGGAAAAAAAAAAAAAAAAACATGTCATGTGCTTAATAGTCGTGACAGAGCCGGAGGGGAGTGGGAAACATGAGCATTCCCTGAGTGCTTGGCCTGGGGAGGCAAAAGGAAGTAGTAGTACCAACGGGTCTGGGTTTTCTAAGGTGGACTCAACTGCCGCTATTTGAACTTCTAATCCCTCTCACCCCTTCTAACTACTTCTGATTCCTCCCTGTTAGTCTGCAAAATTTTTCCACAAAAATTATCCCTAATGCCCAAAAGTGACCTAAGACTATTTTGTGAGGTGTTTAGCTTGGATATCAAGAAGTTTCTGCCAAGCAAGTAGGTTTAGAGTGGTGCCCAGGGAACCAGACTTGGAGGTAGAAAATAAGGCCAGGAGACAGGCATGGGCACGTGTGGGCAGCCCTGGGAAGGTCTGGGACTCCGGCAACTAGGGGAAACTTGGCCATGAAGGAGTACCTTGTTCCTGGGAGGACATGGGATGGAAGTGAGGCCATGCCTAAGGCTGGGGACAGGTCTCATCTCTTGTCCAGCTTGGTTTTTCTTCCAATTTCTTGCCTCCTCCAAGAATCAGAAAACTCATCAGTCTTACAGAATGGGCTGAAAGCTCCCGAGAGGAGCTGGACCGTGGGCCCAGGAAGGCTGGCACAAGGTCTGCTGCAGGGTACTGGGGACACAGTTTGGGGAGCCTCTTCTTTACTTGGTGATGCCGGGAATTGAACCCAGGGCCTCACACAATGCTAGGCAAGTGTTCTACTACTGATCTATAGTCCCCTTTCCTTTTTAAATAATTATATTTCAATACGGCGTCTCATTAAGTTGCCTAGGCTGGTCTTGAACTCACTCTGCAGCTCCAATGGGCATTAAACTCGTGATCTTCCTATGTAAGTCTCCTGAGTGTCCGGCCTAACAGGCCTGCACCACACACCCGGCCAGTGTTTTCCTGCTGGGCCCCCTTCTCTAGGCCAAAGGAGTGGCTGCTGGATCCGCCTGCGAGGCTCTCTGAGCAGGGGAAGGAAACCTGGCTGGCCCCGCTGTCTGAGAGACCTGAGGACTTCTGGAGGTTCCTAATAGCAAGGGCATCTTTGGCTGGTCCTCCTTGGTGCCAGCTGTGACTCCCCTGGATCCTGACTCAGGTCCTAATTCCTAGGGTTCACTAAAGCCTGGATCTGGACAGCCAAGGCCAGAATTAACTGGAATCAGCCCCTGAGTGTGGGTGAAGGGTAGGTATGGACAGGGGGCCTGGTCAGCAGAGGGTGGTGGTCTCCCTGAGGTCCCAGGCTCCACTCCCTCATTTCTCTGGAGGCCTCAGGAACGCTGCTGTTGTCCTGGGCCAAGCCCTCTCTGTAGGGAGCAAGCCGGTGACACCTCCCTGTGACCTATTTTTCTCTAGGTCCTTCAGATTCTAGCCACGTTCTAGGTTGAAGGAGGGTGGGTGAGGAGAGTGGGTGGAGGTGAAAAGGGGGATCCAGGAAATGGCTGGCCGGGCCAGAATTCTGGGACACTACCCAAAATGTCCCTGCCCTTCTCCTACCCAGAAAGGGGTTGAGCCCTTGCTGGGTAAATTCCTATGGGTGTACCTGCAACACATGTTGTACCTTGGTTTTGAATAAGGGGGGGCCTGGGCTGGCAACTCTTAACAATGTGCCCCTCCAAGAGGAATGAGGACTCCCTGAGGGGAAGGGCCTTCAGAAGAGCCAAAGGAACCACACAGTGCTGGAGGCTTAAGTGGACCAGGGCAGGTGCTTCGTGGGCGTGAGATGATGAAATGTGATTGATGGAGGAGGCTGAGGCCGGGGCTCTGCCGTAGAGGCTTGCCTAGCATGCAGGAGGAGGCTCTGGGTCCAACCCTCTGTATCACATAAGCTGAGTGTGGTCATATACACCTCTAGTCACAGAAATTGGGGACAGAAGAATCAGTAGTTCAAGGTCATCCTTGCTACAAAAGTTGGAGATCAACCTGGGCTACATAAGACAGTCCCTCAAAAAACTATAGTAAACCAATTTGTTTTGGTTGGCAAAATCCCAGGGCTGCTCTCCAGGGATCAGGACCCAGCTGCCCAAAGCAGAACCAAGGAAAAAAGCCATTGGGTTTGGCCATATCCCTGGGAGATGCACCCACCACCCGAGTCGGGCATTTACATTTCATTTACAGATAGTGTCTGGACTCATCTGGCTCTTGGGTGTAGGATGGAATGCAGAATGAAGTGTGGATGCCCTGGCAGTGTCTAGAGGAAGGCTGAAATTTGGAGGCAATGGAGGAGTGATGATGGTCAGCTCCCCTGTTCTCTCAATGTGCAGCTGCCTGGATCACATTACACTGGCGCTCTGTCTTGCCGGTGTGTAGCTCACAGTAGATAGGCAGATCAGGCTCACCGGGCAGCTTGGCTAGCATAGGCCCCGCCCAGACCCAGGCTGGAGCTGCACTAGACAAGGGAACATCCTGCCTGACAAACCCTTCATTGAGGAGCCAGCTCCTCACCTGGAGAAGCTCCACCTTCTCCGATCACAGCTCCACCCACCAATCCCCCCCAACCCCCCAGAGTGTGCTAGATCATGCTGTGTGCCTTTATCCAGCACGTGTTTGTTCTATTGTCAAACTTTTAAAATAATTTCAGGCTTACAGAAAAGTTGCAATAAAACAAAGCATTTCATGTGGTTCCTTAAATGTTAATAGTTAGTAATTAACTTTATGATTCTTCCGCATGTAGAGGACCCATCTGAAAATTGCACATAGGAAATGCTAACTGCTGTTTATTTTAAAAAGACTTTCTCCCATATAAACATAACAGTCACCAAAATCAATAAATCACATGTATACATGTACGTGTGTGTGTGTGTGTGTGTGTGTGTGTGTGTGTGTGTGTGTGTGTGTGTATGTTGGCGGGGGTGCACACGTACATGTGAAGGCCAGAGCTTCCTGTTGAGTACCTTTCTCCACCTTATTTCTAAAAGTTTACTACATTTTATTTATTTATTTTGTGTATGTGTGACATTTGTGGGTGCATTGTGAAGGTCGGAGGACAATCTGTAGGGTTAACTCTCTGCTTCTACCATGCGGGGCCTGGGAATCGAACTTTGGTCATCAGGCTTGGTGGCAAGCACCTTTACCTGCTAAGCATCTTACCAGTGCCACCTTAGTTTTTGACACAGGGTCTCTCACGGAATCTGGACTAGCTGCCCAGAAAGAGGACCTTAAACTTCTGATCCTCCTGCCTCCACACGCCCCACACCAAGTGTTGGGATCACGGGTATGGTTTATGGAGTCCTGGGGAGCAAACAGGGCTTCTGCATCTAGGCAAACACTCCACCAGCTGAGTACCAGCCCTTGTGTCACCTTTCATCTTGTGAATGAGAATTCATGAAGAGAAACCATGTCCACAAAGACCAATTAATTGACTGTTTAAAACTTGAGTGACTCGGGGAGGTTGGAATGTCGTGGGATCAGAACTTAATTACAATTTATCTTAAGCTATGTTTGGCCTACTAAATAACTACCCTATATCTCCCTCTGTTAGACCTAACCTCCTCTGAGTAATAGATAAAAACCTTTTGGAATGAATTACCTTAACCCTAGTTTCCCACCAATCAAAGGGCTAAGAGTTTCATCACAGCAACCGAGGCCTATAGCTGAGATTCCTCGGCTTTGCCGAAACCACCTCCTTAATGCTTCTGCCAGTGTATGTGAAAAGTGTCTTGATTCATGACATTCTTTGTTCTGTTACTATGAAATCTTCATGAAACTGCCTCCTCATTGGAACATGGAACTTGTGGTAACCTAAATCTGTGTTCCCGGCCACAGTCACTCATTTAGCTCCAAAATAAACTCTCCTTTATTCCCCTTGGCGTAATAACTGTTTTTGCACTGATGATCTTATCACTCACTCAGCCCATCTTCATGACTTTGAGATGTGTGGGATACCTGCCTGGTTATTTTGCAGAATGGCCTTCACCTTGGCCAATTCTCCTGTTTTCTCATTATTAGGAATTTGGTGGGAGAACACCCTGGAGAGATGGTGTGCCCTCAGTCATCATGTCAGGGATGCCGCAGCATGCTCACTTGTTCCAGAGCTGGTGATGTGGGCTCATTTGCTCGCTTAGGGTACCGCCAGCCAAGTTTCCCCACCCTCGGGTGACTGCTTTTCCCTGTGTGATGAGTCAGTGTCTATAAAGACCACCTGAGGCTCTGTGAACGTTTCTCCTCAGATACTGAGGTCATTGATGATCCCGCAAGCTGAGCCACTCTTCCCGGGAGGGCCTCCAGTGGGGATTTTCCAGCTCTGTCCTTCCCCAGCTGGCACTGGGCTCCCAGTTTCCATTACCACCACTCAATAGTACCTGTCCAATATGGAGTTACCCTCAGGTGCTATCCCTGTTGATTTTGATGTTTTGGGTTGTTTGGAATGACTGGCCTCTGTCGTCTTCCCGGGGCGTTTTTCTATTGTAATCGGAGCCCTCCTGGGTAGTGGTGCACACCTGTAATCCTAGCTGGTGTGAGGCAGGGACGGGAGAATCTCTTTGAGTCTGAGGCTAGCCTAGACTACATAGCAAGACTTGGTCTTGAAAACAGAAAAGCAGGCAGTTGTCCCAGAGTTACGAGGGTCTGTGTGGGTTTGCCCACCTCGCCAAGTCCTTCCTGACGTGGGTGTAACACTTTTTCCCCCCTCTTTTCTTCTGTCATTTTCTTTCAGATGCCAGCCAGAGACGAAGCATGCGTTCCCAAACAAAAGGGCTTCATTCTTTTTATAAAGCTCCCCTCCCCCTCGTGGGGCTGCTTGTTGGCCATGGCTGACCTTCGTGCCAGCTCAACTCAAAAGCCTCTGCCTTTCTCTCTCGCTCCATTTCCTTCCTGTAGTGAGTGGCTGAGAGTCCCGATTTGCCTGCTTTGGACGTTTTTTCTTTTAAACTTCAATAAAAATTGTCTTGGAGCTTCAAAAAGCACAAATACATACATAAATAATAATGAAAAGTAAGTTCGGGGGACAGAGCTCGGCTGGTA